AGTTCACCCAGTGCTTCCAACACACCACTCACTTTATTGTGTTCTTCCTGCCTTACTGTTTTTCATGTCTCAAATGGCTCTCTTAAAATCACCTCTCAAAGGATCTTTCTACATCCCCCAATCTGTTCCACAGCAGTCTTCCCCATTTCGGTGAATGATAACTCCATCTTTCCAGTTGCTCAGACCAGAAATCTAGAGGTCATACTGACTCATCTAGTTTTCTCATACTCTGCATCCAACCAGACAGAGAACCTGTTGGCTCTATCTTCAAAATCAATACAGATGCTGATCCCATTTACCTTGCTTACTGCTACCACCCTGGTGCAAGCCACTACACATTTCAAGTAAGTTAATAAAATAACCACCTAACTGATGTTCCTCTTTCCACCCTTGATCCTTTTCTTCTCCACCCCAAAGTCAGAATGATCCTGATAAATCAGGTTAGCATGTCCGGTCTTTGCTGAAAACATTCCGACAGATTCTTGTCTCAGAGTAAAAGCCAAAGTCCTCAAATATGATAGGCAGCCTTCTCCTCATCCTCATCATCTACACTCTCTCCTTGCTCACTCTGCCTTAGTTACAGCAGCCTTCCAGGCAGCTTAGGCCTTTTCAATGGCTCCCTCCCCTCCTTTGTACCTTTATTCAAATATCACCTACCCTGCTCACTCTCTGCAGCTGTTCCTGCTAAATCCCTATCCTCTTCTTTTCTTCATTTTCACCTTAGTTCCCATCACTCTCTAATATACTATATACTTTTACTTATTTAAAATCTAATATACTATATACTTTTACTTATTTAAAATCTATTGTCTGCCTACGTACATTAGAATATAAGCTCTATGAAGTCAGGGATTTTTGTTTGTATTATTTTTTGCTGATGCAGTCCCAGTGCTGGCACGTAGTAATTCAATAAATATTTGTTGACTAAATTAATGAGTTATGTTTAATAAATATATAAAAGACAAATAGGGGGCGTAAATCTCTTCAAAATTCCTCAAAGGTAATTTTATAATACATATCAGAAGTCTTAACTGTGTACTCAGTGATTTCACTTCTAGAAATTTATCTCAATGCAGGATTTCCCGAGCTAGTTAGTATAAAGGAAATACTGCGCCAGAGTATTAATAGGTATGTGAAAAACAAAGAAAATATTATAGAAAAAAAAGTCTCTTCTAAACTGCTGTGGTTCTAAGACTTAGTTGCACTTTGTAATTCCCCGAGGTGTTTTAAAATATATTGGTGCCCGAGTCTTACCTTCAGAGATTCTGATTCAATTGGTTTGGACTGGTTGTCCCTCTTGTCATGATATTAGCAGCCTATGATGATTATTACTGAGATCCTCTAATTCATTAGGGACTGTAAGTGGTAATCTTGATTACATCTCTGGGCCTGTATTTTTTCATACATAAAATGAAAGGGTTCAAGCACATTATTTGTAAGCAATCTTCCAACTGGAACATTCTATGTTCATGTGAGAAATGCTCTTATTTAGGGGTTTGCAGAAAGTATTTGCTGTTTGTGGAAAGTATTTCCTGGTATATGCAAATGAATGCATGTGTGTGATACCTAAGCACCTCTCAACGGCTCCACTGCCAAATACCATCACATTGGGGATTAGGTTTTTAACATATAAATTTTGAGGGGACACAAACTTTCAGTCTATAGCAACATAGTACACTGGGAAACATCAGCAAATGGTAGCAAGTAACTCTTTTTGAAGCATCTAGACATAAAATATGAAAATATGACTTTTGATGCAGCAGAAGCCTTCTCATGCTCTCTTTGTACATATGATTTGTAGCATTTTTATAATATTCCTTTAAGTAGGAGGACTTTGATATATACTCCAATTAGATAAATCTTCCATTAATGAAGAAATAATTTTATTGGTTTTGAGTTAGTTCAATTGCCAATAATATTTTGTTTTTTCAGCTGAATAAACAATAAATTCAGGTGGCTATTTATATGTATGATATTCTTGAAAAAAACTTTTTAGAACACAGAAGTTCTTTATTCTATCATTGAAAAGATAATATAGCTAAGTTGAACTAACCCATTTAGTGATGCATTTCTTCCCAAGGAAAATTATAAAGTTATTTGATTTCACTGCCCCACACAAGTAGACATTGGAGATCAGATAAAACGTTACTGAACTAATCACTGAGAACTACAAAGCCTTTGAAAAAACCCAATTATTCACTTAGGTAACAAAAAAAAATGCACTTTTTAGAGCAAATAACCTGTTTTGTAGAAAACATTTTTGCATGTAACAGAGTTAGTTTTAAATCCCAGATCCATAACTTACTATTAAATGAGAAAATTCATTTCACACATATTATTAGTATATTAATAAATATATCAAGTTCATAAGTGTAAAATGCCTGGCACATAGCAAATGCTCAATGTGTGTTAGCATTTATCATTATATAGGATGGTTTGTGTAGCTATTGTTATAAATATTATTAAATATTACTTATGAGTCTTTTGGTTAAATCTTTTTAAGAAGATTAAGAAAAATATGTATATTTACCTTTCCTGTTATCCCACAAAATGGACTATCTCTATAATGTGAGAATGCTGTAGTTCTTGTTAATTTTTTTAATTGTTAGTTTACCACTCAGGATATTTGGTATCAAACAGTTCTTGGCTAGCTGTTTTATTGATGTGATGTTGTAATAGTTTTAAATTGCTGGATTGTGCAAAGAAAGTGAAAATTAACTTTGTGATCCAAGAAACCAGAACCTGCGAGTGAGCATAGGTAGACGGTGATAGGCAAAATTTATAGGAAATCCTTTATCAGTGAGCACCCAGTTAACTGGAGTCTTATGTACAGAATTTTAATGGATGCCCTTCTGTATTGCACTGGGTCTTACTAAGCAATATTTTCTTTACATAAAGTAGTGGTATTGAGATTCTGAGCATAAACCTCTCATCATCTCAGAATAAGTTTATGTCTGGGCTATGAAAATAAGGAGGCCCGAAGAACTGTCTTAGAAGGAAGAAGACTGTGAAGTAATCTTATGAATATAGTAAAGAATCAATAATATAATCATTATGACCTAATAAGCTGGACCAAGTGATAGATCTCTGTTTATTTTACTAAATGGTAATATTAGGAAAGATTATCTGGGTGACAATAGTTGTTCTGGATAGCCCCTTCTCTTTTTGTTAAACATCGCCCTTGAGGAGTGATTTGGGGATAGTTGAAACCCCCCAAAACTGGCCTGGCTTGAAGAGTTCCTGCACTGCACACATTATCTTGTTTCTTAAGGTTGTCTTTAGTTTTGGTAAATGAGAAAGCACTTGGTTGCCATTTCCTTTCTGAGACCTGCTGAGTTAGTAGGGAAGGAAGTAAATGTTCTGCTGAGTTCTGTCCTGTGGGGGAAGGGCAGGGCTGGGCTGCTTCTCCCAGCACCAGCTTCTGCTTTCGTGGGGCTTGGTTTCCTAAGTGTCTGGTTCTTCTTCATAAATGTCAATAAAATTAGTCTGAGGAGTTCTAGCTAATCCCCTTTCTGGGGACAAATGACTGAGGATGCAAGGAGTGGCTTTCTTTGTCTAAATTCTTGGCCACAACTCTGCTCAATATTCTTAACTGGTTTTCTTTCTACTGTTAATCTTTTAAAGATATTGGCAAGCCTTTAAAACAAAAGATTTGATTTAAATATTACCTCTGTGAGAATGTTTTTTGCCAGTGTCAAAGAATCTAGCTTTGAGGAAAATCCAATTGGAACATCAAGTCCTGTCAGATAATCATGGTAGAATCACAGCTTCTGATCCAGATTGGAAGTCTTTGGAAGCCTGAGGTTAGATGTGGTTCTGCCATTAACTGACATGTTTCATTATTTGTTTTATTTGATGTCGAAATCATGCTTATAATATTATTTTACACCACTTTTCAGCATTACATCAGTGTCTTTGGCACTCCGGACTTATTTGTTCATGATATAGAAGCGTCTGCTTCATTAGAATGTCTTGATTCTCTTCCTAATATGATTATTTTTGAAACTAGCTTCTGGAGCATTAATATATCTATGCCGCTTGTTTGCAGATGTTTAGGAAATGGTGGTCGATCTAAGAATATTCAGAAAGAATCAAGGAAAAATTAAGGCTTCTGCCATGCAGTCTCTGTAGCCACCTCCAAATTTTGTTTTGAACCTGAAAATACTCTAAAAATATAGCCTTAAAAAAAAAAAACAAAAACAAAACAAACAAAAAAAGCAGAGAGAAAAGCAAATAGGTGTAATCTGAGAGGGAAAGGGTAATGAAAAATAAGTTTGCAAAGGAATTTAACTCCTTGTCTCTCCACCCTATTATAGAGTGAAGACTGCAAGACCAGGTAGGAAGACTTGTGTTGAAGTTCTGCTTGCTCACAAGTTGCTGGGTGACCTTCAAGCAAACTACCTCAGCTTTCCGGATGTCAATTTAAAGATGGTTAAAATAAAACAGTCAGATTGACCTCCAAGTTCCCTTCTAGTCCTACAATTCCAGACTGGAAGCTAAGGACCATGCCTTCCCAGTTTTCTCCTTCAACCCCAACCAGACACCTTACTTGAACCTGTTCTTATCGGACAGCATATTCTTTGACGTACTCACTGGATCCTAAACACAGCAACGGTTCCTGGTGACTATAGGACTAAAAGGGCAGGGGTGGAGGACTGAACCCTAAGGAGAATAAGGCAAGAAAACTCTAAGGATTGACAGTGGGTGGTAGCAGCCGGGCAAAAGAAAACTATTAGGGCAAACGGACGCTGCGAAGCTACAGCGGAACCGAGAGGAAGGCTGGGTCGCTCCGAGAGCCCATTGGAAGGCTGAGGGGGCGGGGCCACGCTGACAGCCCTAGGGAGGAGTGAGGGGAGCTGAGCGAACGTCGCGGGCCAGTTCCCGCCCCTTCACTTTTCCGCTCCGCTCTCCGCCTGGTGGGCGGGGCCGCGGGCGTGCCGACGCCACTTACGTCACAAGGGGCGGGGCGTTCCGAGGGTTCAGCCGACGCGCGGGCGCGTTCGGCAGTCGCTGTTTGGGACGCTTGGTGCGCAGCTGCTCAGTCTTTACTGCCGGTTCGCTGTGACAGTCGGTCCCCCTCCCGGAGCCCGGGAGAGATTGGGCGCGCGCCCATGTGTATGTGACCGGGACTCAGAGCAGAGGCGTTCCCTCGCTGCCTTTTTTTCTGCCATTTATCCTAAGAAGGGGACGGTTCGCACGGTTGCCCTCTTGTCGCCCCGTTGGGAGCGGGGTTGGTGTGCGGAGTGGTTTGTCTTTTCTTTTTTTTTTCTTTTAAACTTGTGAGCGCTTTCTTTTTTTCTTTTTTTTCTTTTTTAAGGCTCAGTGCAGTCTGGGCTGTTTTTCTCGGTCCTTCACTAACTGCTTTCTGCCCCTTCTCTCGCCACCCCCGCCCAAGGTCGCCCTTCCACCCTCGCCCCTGGCCTGGGAGGGTGGGAAGCTTTGTCCCGCTCCCTTCCCACTCGCGTCTCCGCAGCCGTAGCCGCACCTGCCTCAATATGAATGGGGTCAACGACCCACCTCTTTTTATAAAAGATATTAAGCCTGGACTGAAAAACTTAAATGTCGTCTTTATTGTCCTGGAGATAGGTAAGTGGGGTCCGCAGCCCACCCCTCCGTTCCCCGTGCGTCGCCGGGCTGGAGGGTAGGGCGCCGCCGGGTCCGCGAGCCGGGGGCTCCCCTCCCCCTCCCTTCTCTTCCGCCTCCCTTCGCCATCCACGTGGTCCGGGTGGATCCTGCCAGGGCTCGGATCCTGGCGGCATGTACCCGGGTCTCGACTTCTTTTGACCTTTCAGATGCATTAAAGTCCGGGAGTTCTTTCTCGAAGTCCTTATTATCTAATACACCCTCTTCCCCCTTTTGATTTTTTAAATCCTCATAGGACGCGTGACCAAAACCAAAGACGGCCATGAAGTGAGATCATGCAAAGTAGCAGATAAAACGGGCAGCATCACTATTTCCGTGTGGGATGAAATCGGAGGTCTTATACAGCCAGGGGATATTATTCGGTTGACCAGAGGGTAGGTGTGCATAAAAAGGGTATAGGGTGGGGGGAAGTGCTTTTTAAATAGCAGTTTTTGGAATCGGAATTGGCTGACGCTCAGACCTTGGCAAGTTCTGAAGTTCCGTCTTTTTTGTGGGCCACTCCCAAGGAATTTTGAGCCCCTTTCATGTTAACTTCGGATGGTGAACAGAGTTGGAATGTAACAAACTTGCCTTTAAAAGCAGTCAGTTTCAACCACGTATCTAACCACCCCCACCCCTCACCCCCGCGTAGATTTTTAAATACTGTTCTGGGATTATTGAGCCTTTACTAGATTGATAGGATTAACGTAGTTCATATTTTATCTATTTCAGAAATATTTTAATATAGTTGTCACTTAGTTCTTTTCCAGCCTTTCTCCCATTTTAATGACTCGAAATCCTGCCAATATTTTACTTGTACTTATTTAGAGGAGAAGTCTACAATATCTGGAAGGCACATTCTGGAAAATGATTGATTCCTTGTGCCTACTGCCTTAAGGTCAGTGTGGTACAAAAACCAGAATGACATGCAGAAAATGTTTGGCAGAAAGGCACCATCCAAAATGTCAGTTGGAAGGTTGGCTTTTAAAAATAATTTAGCAGAACCTTTTTTGTTTGGTAATTAGACTGCCTTTAAAAATTTACCAAACTTTTATTTTAGGAACATAAAAGACTAGAAAAGGGTCTTAAAAATAGATTTTGGAAGCTTTGTGATCAATAGAATTGTAATAATTTATTGGTCATAACTATAGGAAAAGTGGATGGAAATTGATTTGGCATAAGTAAATAGAATCTCAGAGAAGTGTTGGATCACTCGGAATGTAGGAAGTTAGAGCCCCTTGGTAATATCTTACAGGCCTTACATCTTCAGGAAGTGGGGCAGAGTATCATCAAATAAGGAAGTGAGAGTCAGGACTTAGACATTTTATTCTCATACACTGACTCATGACATGAATTGTGTCTTTCAAACCTCCACAGCTTTAACTTAACACAAAGGATTCCTACAGGGGAGGGTGTGGTGATGATTAGCGTAATTAAAGTTCTTTTGGGTGCCAAAGTATCTAATGCTTTAAAGTATTTTATATACTAGAAACAGTATTTCAAGTATTTTCTGTATTATAGTCAGAAAATACATGGATGTGCCCATCCAAAAAATTGCGGAAAAACTAAACTCAGTAGCCATATAGTATCTAGGATTTTAAGGAGTATTACCAGGGAGTGCAATTTAAAGGAAAATTCAAAACCAAAGAAACTCTATTTTCTAACAAGTATGACTTTGAAGTTATTACACTTCATCAATTTCCTCTTCTGTAAAATGGGAATAATTATATCTTATTAAAATAACACATCTAGCAGAGTCTGGCCCATTATAATGTCCTTAACTTCTGGCCCATTATAATGCCCTTAATCTAAGGAAAGGGGCTTTTGAAGAAAACTATACATCTATATAATGGTAATTTGAATATTGATAAGTTTGTCAGAAAAGCCTGCAAATGTTGGTCTCATTCCTGAAACAAGTGGAAGTGTTTTGTCGTAACTTCGAATTTTTTTCTCAAAATATGCATTGATTTTTACTTTAGTAAGGAAGGTGAAATATTTGTGCACTTTTCCTGTCACTTTTTATCTAATATAAGATGGGAGTCTTTAAGAAATAACCCTTACTAAATGAAGAGAAAAATATAATGTGGAACTAGCAAGTTTTTATTTATTTTAAAAGATAAACTATCACTATACTTAAACAATAGTTATTTTTAATTTACCATTCTAAGTCATGAAGTTACCATAGTAATTGTATAAAGAACCACTGAAAACCAAAACTTGGACTGATTTTATAATATTGATTGATTTACATTTCTTATAGATTTGTATGTAGGGTTATTTTATCTAATAATGCTATCTGTATTCAAAATCATTCAGCATAAATAATACTCAGCCAAGTTGGTGCTAAAAATTGCACATTTGAAAAGGCAGTGGTGAGAGATTTGTGATCTTGGTTTTTTTAGCCTCTTGATTAAATTTTGCCAAGTTTTTTGTAGCTTGATAACTTACGTGTTTTATGAAGGCAAAGAAAAAATTATAGCAATATCTGACTAGACCAAGTTAATGAGTGTAAAAGTAAGCACTAGCGAGTTGATTTTCTATATCCTGTGATTGAAAAAGAATTTCTGCTTTAATTTTGCAATTATAAGTTCTAGGTTTGTTAACTGACTAAAGATGTGACCTTTGGAGTATAACACTGCTTGCTTTGCAAAAAGACTTTGTTTTCTAGGGTTAGAGTTTAGATGACTATGTCAAAATTTTGCAGTAGAGTTTTCTTTGTATTATTTCTTAGTAAGTAACAAGTTAAAGTTAGATTAATTGTATTTGGTTCACTATGGTAGACCTCGAGTTTGATCCCCACCTGCACCCAATACAAAATATATAGTATAGTTACTTGATTTAAGTAGAAGGAAATATACATATTTCTACAGAACTAATGTTTCTTTTCTTTCTAGGTATGCATCTATGTGGAAAGGATGTCTGACACTTTATACTGGAAGGGGTGGAGAACTTCAAAAAATTGGGGAGTAAGTATTAAAATGCATTTTATATAATTGAATAAATTACAAATAATATCTGCTAAAGTAACTGGTAGGTATAAGCTATAAACCTTTTTCTTGGCTTGTTTTTGACTGGTAAACTGAATGCCTTCAGCAACTTAACTGTAATACAAATAACTTCCATGTATGTGTTCGTTGAACAGCTATCCATCCATACTGTTTTCTATGGTTGAGAATGTCAGTTTTTCCTGGTAAAGAGCTTAAGAAGCTGCACTTGAGATAAGCCCCTGTGGGACCATTTCAGTAAGCTTTGGGAATGCATTTTTCAGGTGTCACAAGTGCCATTTGAAGTAGATTCTGTCTCCTAGTGAATTACCAGATAAGAAGCTAGCTATGGGTTTTGGCTATATGCTTAAATTTTCTTTTTCTGTTTATGGGTGAATATGTTCGCATGGTAAAAGGACTTGCAGCAATGAAAATTGAAGTCCTGTATTTATCCACAGTCTAGGTACCGTACAGGCAGCCGCATTGCGAGCTTCCATACACTACTACCTTGGTAATCTCCACCCTGACTTGGAGGAACCATCCTCTCTAAGGGTGTAAAGGTAATTCACCCTCTGTAATAGCCTAGACATTTGGGATATACTCATAAAATATGGTGTAGGCAATAAGTCAAATCGTTAGTCCATTCCACTTGGTTATTGCTTAGACATCTATTTAATGCCATTAAATTGGAGGATATTTAATGAGAGAAGCCACAAGTGGCACCAATAAATAAAGAAAACTTCTATGCTAAGGTATAAGATACTTTGTGTGGAAAAATAAGCAATCTTGCTAACTTTTAAAAGACCAGAAATTGGTAACACTTTGTCTTCGCTAAGAGGAAATTAGGATTCACTTATGTTTGTATTTAGAGTGGTAATAGAACAATGTGTTATGAAAGGTCCGCATCAATATTACCGAAAGATTTAGGATCCTGTCTTGACCTTCAAGTATTTATAATGTAGGTCAGTTATGTGAAGAACCACTGGAAGTCACTCAGTTCTTAATGACTTTGTCAGAGTCAGTCTAGCATTTACCAAACCTGGTTCTAATTTTTATTTGTGAGGTTGATTACTTTTATTTGGAAATCATTTAACTTGTCCTTATTTGTGGGGTGAGGAGCCAAGAAAATGCTTGTTTGTAATGTAAATATATATTATAGTTGGTTTACAAGAAGCATTGGGATAAACTTGTATTGATAGCCAGTTGTCTTTTTTTCATGCCTGCAGAATCTACTCTTAACCTTGAATGATTATCTTTGCAGATTCACAGTGATTGGTCAAAAGAGGGAATGGATGAGAGTGTGTGAATGGATCAGTGCAAATCCATCACCACTGGAAAAACCACTCTGGAACCCTAAATGTGGTTCAGTGGCATCAGCCTGTGTGGAAAAACAGGACAAATGATGTGTTTCTGTGTCCTTGATCTTTGACACAATTTATTTTTGCAGTATAGAAGAATTAAAATAGGATGTTTCATAAACTGTGGGCAATCAAATATTTGATGTTTTTATACAACATAAGCATTTAGAAAGTTTCTGTTATAAATTGAGTGAGTTAGCATGTTGCTTTTTAGTTAATTCAGATGACACATAAATTTTTCATTTCTGTAAGTTATGCATGTTTTATAAAGAGGGGTTGATTACTTTATTTTGGAAATCATTTAACTTGTCCTTTATTTCCTTTCAGATTTTGTATGGTTTATTCAGAATTGCCAAATTTCAGTGAACCCAATCCAGATTATCGAGGACAACAAAACAAAGGGGTAATTAATCCAAATACATAGTCTTATTTTTATGATTAGGCTAATTTTGACCATGTACTATAATTCTATGGTGAGGTTGCAAATCCAGTCATAATGAAGACAATTTAAAAAGGAATCTTTTTAAAGTCATTTTCATTCTGTATTTTTTGTGAGTCTGAATATGTATCTGCAGTGTTATTTAGCACTTTGAGGAGTGGGGAGTAATATTAGGAAATACAATAAGATCAAATGTTTGGGAAACATTCCTGAATATTTTAACATGGAAGAGACTTGGATAAATCTTTAAAAAATTTTTTTAAGAAAACCTTAAAAATTAAAAGAATGGATATAATATGTTGTTATGATGATATAAATAGGTTTTTAAAAAAATCTTGGTTAAATGAAAAAAATTTTTTTTTAGGCACATAGCGAACAGAAGAATAATTCCATGAATAGTAATATGAGTACAGGTACATTTGGACTAGTGGGTAAAAAATTTTTTTTTTTTTTTTTGCATAATTGTGATCAGGTGTAAGAATTAAGGGAATATTTCTTATGAAAGATTTAGAGGAAAAAACTGTCAGGCATAAATTAGTACTTAAAGAGAATTACTGGTAAACAGGGAATTCCCAAGTAGCTGATTTTCTAGAAAGTAGATACCCTATTAAACTAATTTATTGAGCACATTCTATATTTATATATCACTGGGAATACCGTGGTGAACATTGGCTAATAAGAAATCTAAGTTTTGGTGTCCTGTTATTTTTCCATTGACTTTTATAAAATTTCTAAAATCTAGTGATTATAATAGGTACAGAATTACTGATTATTTTTGTACACTGAAAGCCTTTTATCTTCAGACTAATAGCTGACCTTAATTTTTCACATGCTGATAGCTAACTCTTTTTAAAAGATTAGCCTTTACCCTAAGATACCCTCAAATAACATATTAGTGGTTCTTACAGCCATGTTAAAGGTCTTTTGAAGTCTTATTCTTAAATAACGGAGGAAAAGCCTTTTTGTGATTGGAGTTCATTAGGGTGGCTGAAGTTTTATTTGAACTGATAGCTACATGTTTTGGCACATCTGATGATCATCACATCATGGGAAACTTTGCTGTCTTTTTCTTTAAGAGTTATATTGTCTTTTTTGAAACATCATTAACCATATTTGAACCAAATGCCAGTACTCATACACCATTTGCCCTTTCTTTTTCTTCTTTCTTTATAATGTAGGCGGTACATTGTCTATGCTTTTTTCCTACTTCACCAATTTCTCATTCTTTTGCCCAAGTTGCGTTTTTCTTCCCCCCATTAATACAGCCTCAAGTTTAATATATTTATAGTAATCATATGTTTGAAGAAACCTAGAACCCACATTGAGTTTTTTCTAGTAGTTTAAGAATAAAGGCATTTGTTTTCCCTAATATTACTTGTAAGCAGTTAATAGCATATGTTAGAAATTTAAATAGGTGGACCTCTGTAAATCAGTATCTGAAAATGGTGATGAAATTTTTTTTTATTCTTTTTTAGGAAACGGGATTCAGAGTGGCCCAGAATCAAGGGGATGCCAATTTTCATATGGTGGTAGAAGCAATGGCCGGGGGCCTATAAATCCACAGCTACCAGGAACAGCTAATAATCATACAGTCATGACCACAATAAGTAATGGCAGGGACCCTCGGAGAGCCTTTAAAAGATGACCTATGCCAAATACTCACATGTAGTATTTAAACTACATGTCCTACTTGAACACTTATTGCACTTTTATTTATTGTTAACTGTGAAAACTATGTTCTTTATGGTTTCCATTTATGTTTTTGGTTTGTTAACAAGCGCGGTTTGTTTTTATAGCAAAACTGTTAAGCTGCTCAAGGCTCATTGAAGAATGGGAACATGCTGAAAAAGTGGGGACATTTATTTTTAGAGCTAAAAGGTATTTGGATATCCTCTAAAAAAACCACCCATTTCATGGGTGAGTTACTTAAGACCATCAGCAGCGTAGCCTCTATGAGTCTATCTTCTGCATACATTTTGTAATATTTAAAATAAGGCTTTGTGGGAGATGTTCTCTGTCTTAAATTCAGATATTGCCAACTAAAACAATAACTACCAAAAAAATAAGACCTCGGTCAATGCTAACAGATTTGTGAGTGTGACTCCAGAAATGATTGACTTCTTTGAGTGACTGCCATTATGATTTTCCAAGGATGGAATCATCTTAAACCGTTGTTTTATTACCAAAAAACATATTCTTTACTAGAATTATGGAATAGAAAGTGAACTGTAGGATAACAAGTGATTTTTTGAAGAGAGCTGCATTTATTTTAGGGTAGTCCTACTAATATTTGTTATCAACTTTGTGCATTACACTGAAGGAAAATTTAAAACTTGAGGCCTTGAATATTTATTTTTTGAAACCATGTCAAATATTAAAGTATAATTTAAGAGAGTTATAAAGTCATAAACATCTAATTATTTTTAAAAATTATGTGAGAAACATAGTAAAGGCAATTCAAATTGAATTCATGGAGAAATATGCAGTCTTAAGTTATAGGGTCCTAGGTACTTGCAAAAACAGCCTGGAGTAAATATCCTAGGTACTTCATTTGAAGGGTGTGTATGTGTGTATGTGTGTTGTCAAGTTTTCTGAACACAGTTCACAAAGCCTTATCAGCAAAAGTTTAGTCATAGCTTTCTCAAAGAAGCGAATACAGCTTTATTCAGAGATGTAAAGGTAGAGTTTATTTATGTGTTGTAAATGATCACTAGTTCCACTTTTTATTGTAGGGGAGATAACTGGTGAAATTTTCCTTTGTTAGAATTCAACTCATTTTCAGTATTATCTCTTGAATAAAAACTTGCATTAATATTAACAGACTTACCTTATTTTTGCTCTTTCAGTGATTTACAGTGGAGAGCCAGTACATTTTACTGTAGTTGTAATGATGCCTTCAGACTGGCTACTACTACATAGCTCTGCATTTGTTGCTTTGTCTTTTTTCCCCACCTCAAATCACAAAGTAATTTAAATAAGACTTTTATGAAAATTCCATAGTGTTCGAATATAAAATTTGTGCCAGATTATTTGTTTGCTCTAATTTAGTGTATCTAACAAATATTTCAGTACATGGTACGTATTAGACACTGTGAGGAGAGTTAATGGGTAGATGAAATAATCTCAGGAGCTTATTTATGGGTTATAGTACTTCAGTAACTGGAGTTTATATATTATAGCAAGAAGTTTTTCCTTTATATACTGATTATAGTTACTTTGGCTTTATGACTAATATTTTAAGATACTTATAAAATTACAGATGTTTGTAGTAAAGAAAATACAAATTATAAGTTTTCTTTTGAAGTAGTGAGGGGAGCAATAACACTAATTTATTTGTGGGAGAATATAATGTTAAGGTGGTTTTAAAAGAAAGAATTTTAGAGTTTTAGAAACATCGGTATGGATTGCTGAGCTGCTAATTCTGCCCTTATTCTCTCCTTACTTATGATGTTAGGCAAGTTATATTTGAAACCTCTCTGGTAAACCTTAGGTTCCACAACTGTAAAAACAAGTAAGTAATATTACCTCTTTGTAGAGTTATTTAAGATTTTCTATGTAAGTGATTAGAATGATTTCTGCAAATAAGTCAAATGTCTAATCATACTTCAATAGAAAAAAAAATGCAAGGTTAGGTATAGAAGTATTGTTACTCTTTAACATGTTGAGATTAAATAGAGAAAGACCTAAGGTTTTACTTTTGTAATTGACATTTGTCTCGATAATCTAACCTTATTATGTGTTCTTTGTCATTTATTAACAAATTTCTTTTTTTTAAGGGAAGTCTCCAAGCCAAAGCAAAGTGAGTTACAATCCATAATGAACATTTGCCTTACCAGTCTCCTTGGACAGTACTCAACAAGAAGAGGAAGAAAGTTTCCTACCTTCCTCCTTCCTGATGTTTTCTGCTTTCAACTTATTTTTAAATAAGTTTAAACACCTACTGAAAACAAAACCATTTAGTATAGAAATACATGCTCCTAGGATTGGGTCCCAGTTCATTTCCACAAAACAATTCTGAAATGGATGCAGTCTCATCAACCAGCTAGCCCCTCTTGTCTGGTCAGAGTTTTTTAGGGGGGCAATTGCTACAGTACAGAAATGGAAAAATGTAACCCATGAGGCCAGATGATGTGGTAGTAAAGGCTACAGTATGCTTTCTCATCAGCATTTAAACAGTCAAGTTTTCCTACAGTATACCAACTCTTTTGCTTTGTTCCTATAGTTTTAGAAATTCTGTTTTAAATACGAGAACAGTTTAACTTGAGGATATCCTGAATATTTGCAGTACTGAGTATTTGTCACTTGTATTTTTATCATCTAACATTTTAAAAGAATGTTTAATTTGCTTGGTTGAGTAATGCCAAGGGAATGATGAGCACAAAGATGAGGTTAGTAAAAAAGTTTATGATATGAGAACATTTAAAGTGTAGGAAGGTGGTTAACTGGCCCTAAAAAGTATCTTCAGGAGGTACAGATTGAGTGTTTTTATATTGGTCTGAAGACGCCACTTGCCGTTGTTAGTTGAAAATATAGATTTGACATTCCAGTTTAGTTACTGAAATTACATTTCTGGTATCATTAAGGTAATGACTGCTCCACGCAGTTTTAGGCTGCCATGACTTATGATCCTTTAATATATTTGGAAAGGTTCTAGAGACAACAAACCGGAAAACCACGTGAAAACATCAGCATGGAATACTTTTCCAAATTTGTCATTTCTTACCTCTAGGTTTATTCTTGGGATTATTTGCCCTATAATGGCTTTTACCCCTATCTGATGAGAGTCTGAACATTGCTAGTATAAAAGAGAGTCACAGTTGTTTTTTAGTATGGGCTCTGATGGATAGCGGCAGATGTACTGGCCCTGCTACATCTGTGTTTTGAGGTTCCAGCTAATGATTTAATGTTGAGGTAATTAAACAGTCCCACATTTCACAAAGTTACAATGATTAACAGTTAACATATGTTTCTGAGAAAATCTGATTGTAACCTTTGAAATACAGCACTGTTATGTCAGGACCCTGAGGGAAAAGATAGAAAAACATTTTACTTTCTAGGTATATTCAACTTTTCTCCAAGTTCCTTGAAGTTTGCTGTATTAGGGGTACATCAGAGTTTGTATTCACAAACTATAACAAAATTACTTCAGGTTTCTGAGCTAAAAGTCTCTAATGATGGTTTTCTCAAAGCACAGAACACAGACTAAGGAACAGGCTAGAGAGAATCAAGTCCAGAATGACAAACCATTTATTTGCATTCTTTCTCATTAAGAACATTAGAGCTATGTACCACGATAAGCTAACTTGTGTGATGTAAAGAAAATGAACATTTTAAGTTTGACTACTAGACATTTTATTTAAGCCTTTTGAAAGGCCTTGGAAGGTAACTCAGTTTTATTGTGGTTCTCTAGACATGGCAACCCAAGGCTTGGTGGCTAGCTCTTGAACAATAATAGAGCCCAGGTATCTTGGGACTCTGTTGACACTGCAGTCCTTCCATCACACTGTATTGTCTAACTTAACCACAACTGAAGAGCTATTGACATCTTAAAAAAAAAAAAGTTCTTTAAGCATTTACAACCAGAAATTTGGGTAAATTTTATTCCATCAAAATTTGTGCTTATGGACATAGAGTCCAGTTTCTTGGCCCATATATTGAATATGTGTTGACTAAAACCCTCAAAGAATGGTTTATAAACCACCTATATGAGAGTCTCCCCAGGAATTTAGAAGTATGAATTGCTTCTCTGCCTTACCAGAAAGAATTTTAAGTACAAGTCTGGAAGAGCAGCTCTTGAAACAAAGATTAAAGAATTGTTGTCTCCTGTCCTTGATATATCCCTTAACAAATAACTTTAGTTTGAAGCTTATGTATAGCTCCTCATCTTTTACCTTTGTGAGGCTGAAATATACCAAAGTTCTGGAATGTAAAACATGAGAAAATTGTACTTAGAAACATGCCTCCAAAGGGCAGAATTGGGTAAAGCAGGGTAGTCATAAGCAGAATAGAGGTTGAGTATGGCCTCTGGATGTGCATATTGGGAGTTTTGAATTAAGTTCAAATAGAATTAAAATATCAATGTTAAGATCAGATTATAGTGGAGTGAGCCTGGCTTCATCTGGGCCTATATAGATGAAAGTAAAACCACCCTAGGTTTAAACATTTTTTAAATGGGTTTTATTGTTACTCATCTCAGCGAATATGTTTGCAGCATGGTCTGCCTTCCTTCCCTCTATCCTCCAGAGCTTTCCTCTATTCCCTGCTTTATTATGTGGAGAGAGGCTGGTCAAATTGAAAAGTCATGGATTAGACATATAAACATTCCTGGGGATGCCTACAGAACCTACCACTTAAGATCTTAATTCTGCTCTGTGCAAAGGGGCAGCTACAATATGTATTTTCCACAAGCAAATATGCAAGGCATGATTTGACTGCCATGGGGCTAGTTTTGTTTTAAATATTTGTAACCCTAGTAGGAGGCCAAGACCTCTGACCTAAATTACTGGACTACTTAAGATACTGAATAAAAACAGGCTAGTCAGCACAGCTAGTGCCACCTACTGGGTGATTACTGTAGTTTCTGTAGTTTAGGAATTTGGGTTAACTGGAAGAGGTTTTGTTATTCTGTTGGATAATTTTGTTTGATGGTTTAAGTGTAATATGGAAGATCATTACAGGATAGTTGGGCCATCTGTTTAATTGTGAACAGGCAACACTGTGACATCAAGTAAATCTCCATCAGTTAGATAGGTTTATTAAAAACCTTGAGCTATCCCTAAAGCTACAGAAAATGGGAGAGGTTGCCAAATGTATTGTTACATTTATCAGTAATACTTGTGGGAAGTGTAAACTTGAAAATATCCTTTTAAAGTGGTGTTTAAGTAAAAATAGTTAAAGTAGAACAGGAAACTGCCCTTAACAAATTTTATTCCTTTACCAGTGGTATTTTGTAGAATTCTGGCCAAATGACTGCTGCTGTTCTTTTTGTATTAGCTTTGCAGACCAGACCTTATTTTAAATGTCAGAGACAATGTGCTTTGTTGAAAACACAGTTTTGAACCAGTGAGATCTTGGTTTGAGTTCTGGATCTGCTATTTATTGGCTCCGTGCCCACGACCCTTGTTATAAAATGAAAATAATGGGGCTACATGCTCATAGGGCTATGAGGACTATATGAGCCAATGTATGCAAAACATCTGTTCCATTTCTAGGACACCAAGCATCTCTAGGTAAAGTGGGAGACTCTGGCAGGACATGGTGCAAAGTCCTCTGTACTGGGGTGCCAGGAGTAGAAGGGATATACTAGAACTTCAGTGTTTTCAGGTCAGGTGCTCAGCTATTCAGATTTTGAGTCTAAAACTGATTAAGGTTTGAATTGACCAGAATGCCTTCTGCTCTGTAGGGTTTTGCCTTTTCTTATCGCTGGGGATTCAGAGTTGACGTACTCAGCAGTGTAAAAATTCCCTGCTAAGCAAAGACCCCACCACTCTACATAAGCATCTCTGAATGAAACACAAGAAAAAATGATTGTGTGTGTTTTTTCCCAGTTCATACACATGTACACACACATGACACAATCACTGCCAACAAAGCCATTTCTGCATTAAGCTCCACATTTTCCAGTTTTAGGTATTTTCCTTTTTTTATTTATTTTTATTTTTTTTAATCACATAGTGCTGAAGTATATCCTGTGCTGCTTTAATGGGCTACCCATAATTTATTGAGCACTATGTGCCAGTTCTATGCCAATGAGTTACCTATATTATCTCATTCTGTTAAATGACCTTGTGAGGGAGATTTTGTTATCCTTACTTTACACATA